TTGGAGGGATTCTAAAAGATGATAGAGGATACTGGAAGGAAGGCTTCGTTGGGAGAGAATCAACCAGACTACAGCCTCAAAGCTGAACTATGAGCAGCCTTTAAAGGCCTTCAGATGGTCCATAACAGAGGAATCAACTGTATCCTTGAAACTGATTCAATGGATACCTTCAACCCTTTTACTAGGAGCAAGATAGACTACCAACCTTCCAAAACCCTCATCGAGGAATGTAGATACATCATCAATGCGAATAACATCATCCCAAGGCACAAGTCGAGGGAGGGTAACCAATGCGCTGACTACCTTGCCAAGCTAGGATCTGAACATTTGGCTGATTACATCTTCTTTGAGCAGCATGTGACGCCCCAAAATCTAGGGGTCCGTTGATTACCCATCAACCCATGGAATACCCGTGGATATTGAGTAACTCGATATCACCCCGTTATGCCTCATTTACCGAGATCCTTAATTAACAAAATTCCGGCAGAATCTCCTTTGTACGAGAAGCTCTACCCAAAATACAACATGTGCAATATACATTAACATGACCCGTCCGAGGCTCCATATAACACAATGACCACACATGGTCCATTTATAAGTAAAACTTGGTCACACCGGATTCAATTATAATTAAATATTGGCCACACTAGGTCCAATCATCCATATTTATATCAAAACATGCAATGTTAGTTTAACAATAGTCCATATAAATTCTATTACAATTTAAAAGATTACATGCTTAAAACATTCTTTCCACAAATATTTTACATCAACATAAAATAAAGCCACATTCGGCTTTCTTCAAACATGAGGGTCCAAATTGGAGCCATCCACTGGTGTACCTCTCCCACCTGAAATATTTTTCATATAGGGTGAGTCAACGCTCAATAGAAAAACTTCTACAAAGGCTACTCCCCACCTAAAAATGCATATGTAATGCGCACATGCCACAAACAACTTCTTCCAAATAAGAATGTGTTCTTCAAGATAGAATCTCATGATGTCATGCCAAGTAATGAGATGAAACTCACTCATGCATGTTATCCCGAGCCCACATCGACTCTCACAACACAATACGACTCATATATGTAAAATAAACGTCTTTGATGAAATACGTCCAAAGATCATTTTGAAATCAACTATATGTCATAAAACCAATTCATTCTTGGATATTTCCCTTCAAATGAATAATTTATATATCAAAATCATGTGCCTTTATGGGGTATCGGATTCAAGAATCGCACCTCCGGCTCCGTACGCCGTTACACTTTTCTGGAATTTCACCGCAGGGGAGTGTATAACCAAGTCGCCGGGTCTTGCATCCGAGAGGGAATCTACCCCTTCTTGTTATACCCGACACAAGTTTTTCTCACGTGCAACCCCTTCTTGCTATACCCGACACAAGTTTTTCTTTCATGCAACCATATGACTCATTCGGATTTTCAACCCAACTTTCCCGAGTCCACCCATTAATCACCAAGAATGGTGTTTGATTAATCATTCATACACCCACCCACACTCATGACTCATGCCCATGAATGTGATGTCATATTCCCGTGCATATGCAATGTGATGCACCATTGCACAACAACATAATGTTCAATATGCTATGAATAACATATAAACAATTTCAACATATCCATGGTAAGTTATGTTCTAAACATATAGATACCAAATTTATCACAATGTCAATATAACACACGCATGCATATGCATTGACACTTTTTCATAAAATAATTCCAAACATGTTATCACTATCTTTATGTTAATAATATACTTAATTACAAAGGCAAATTATAACACACAACAGCCCATGTACTAGCCCGCATAACAACCCACAAAAAATCAGCCCAAACAATCCGTAAAGTGGCATAAAAACAGTCTTTAAAGTGACCAAAAATAGCCCACAAAGTGGCCTAAAAACAGTCCACAAAGTGGCCTATATGCAATCCGCAAAGTGGCCTAAAAATAGTCCGCATTAGGGTCCAAAAACAGTCCACATTTGGGCACAAAATCAGTCCACCTTTGGGCACCAAAAATAGTCCATTTTTTCATCCAAAAACAGTCCATTTTTCCATCCAACAATAGACACAATTTCAGCCCAAAAATAGGCCTAAAACAGCCCCTTAAACAAGTATAAAACAACTCTATGATTTCAACCCAAAAAAGGTCATATAACAGTCCCTAAAACAGTCTATAAACAGTCATATGTCAGTCCAAAATACAGTCATGTTTCAGTCAACAAAACAACCACTTAAGGTAGGAGTAAAACCCAAGTAGGAAGAACCCTACCTCTTGAAACGTAAAGAATTCATAGGAAGGCTCAAGAACAAGATTCAAGCCCAAAGCTTAGATTTCTCCAAAATCCTCCATTTGGATCTTCGGTGAAAATCTTTGTTTTTGGTACCTACGCATAGATCGACTTTAATTCTTGGCCCGACGAATTCCGACCGATGAAACTTCGAGAATCAGCGGAAGAAAGCTTAAAAAACATATTTTCTCTCTTTCTCTCTTCTCACGCCTGAACCAGCCGGCCTCTTGGGGAAGAAAATCTGATTTTTTTGAGATATTATGCCCTTTTTATACTTTTAAAGACTTGACCCTCGTCGCGCCAACTGTCTTTGTTTGTTCGGGTCCGTTTTTCACTCCGAAATGATTAAATTTCGTACCGGTTTAATCTCAAAATATTTTATATGAACTTTATTTAAAATATTTTTCAAATTTCAAAATTTTTTATAAAAATTCGTTTTTGGGAGTCACCAGACACCCGTTACCTCGAAAAACGTAAAAATTCGATTATCTCGAAATTCGACGAAATTTGTCTGGATAACTAGATTTTGCGAGATGAATTCAACGGTAAGGTCCGTTTCATCATCTGAGGTCTAAAAAAATATCATTTTTCAACCCGCACTATAATGACAAATTACCATTTTACCCCCCCTTTTTTTTATAATAAAAAGTTCAAAATTTTCTCATGTTTCACACTGCATGTGTCTTTTATTTTTCCTTTTCTCACAGTAGATATTACTACTGTTTATTTTAGAGAAATATTATTTGAACCTAAAAATTTGATCTAATTTGTTGGCATAATGATGCGGCTTCGGCACAACCATTAGATCAACACCAAGTTCTAATGTTTGATGACCCCCACAGTCAATCCAAAGATTATAGTAAATTAGGTCAATAAATTAGGTCCTAATAGCATTGCTCTTTATTTTATAAGTGAACCCAGGTAACTGAGTTTCCCTCCAAAGCACCAAAAAAAAAAAAAAACCTCCTCCAACAGGTTTGTTGAAATCCACTTTCATGGATTTAATCTTCCAGGTTGGTTAAAGGCCGAGATCTTAATATTAGGTTTAAGAGTTTTAATTAAATATAAGATTAAGGGTGTATTTGTTAACCTAAATTCAACATTTAAAATGAATATATTCGATACTTATTAATTAAGTCCATTTGATAATTATAATTTAAACTTTTCTAATATGTTAAGTGTTCTTTAAAAATAGATTACAATATTAAATAGAAAATTCCTTACTTAATTCTGAAAGTTGAAAACACTCCGCAAAACCTCTTTAATAATATTTAAAATATGACAATTATGGTCTAAAATATTTTACAATCCTATTAAAATTTTAATTATTTTTTTCCAAAACCTGTATCCTATCTATTCTCCTAACTGATCGTCTTCTTCAACGAATAATAGGTAAATTTTTTCGTTGCCTTCTACTTTTTTTTTTCTCCTTGTCTTGTCCAACAAAAAAAAATATATATAATTACATATATACACAATTTCACACACATTCGCATGCACGCACTAACTACACACACATGTTTTTTATTAGAAAAAATATATTTTATAAATATTTTCAAATTGAATAATAGAGGGATAAAATTAAAAATTAATTATTTTCAGATATCAACTTTGTATAGTTATCAAACAGTTTGTTCAATTCAGTATTTAAATTTTAATGGGTACCAAACGGTCCACAAATTTAGACTACAACTTTCAACTTTTAAACTTTAATTTTTAATTTTATTAAACACCACCTAAATGATTCATTGATATCGATTTTTTAAACATTTAAATTTTATATTGCTACATCCTGGCTTAAAACACCATGACTACAAATTTTTTTCGCAGTTCGACAGAGTAGGAATGCACTTTGGACGGGCTAATCCGATTTCAACCCGAGCCCAACTTGAAAAAATTAGGGCTTGAGTTTGAATTTTTAATACTTGAGTTGAAAAAACTCCAACCCAAATTCAATTTAGGCGGGTCTCGGATTGAAGCATCGGGTTCAACCTGAATTAATACTATATAAAGACAATTTTATCCTAGGATTACTATCTAGTCTGCGCCTCCCTTCCTCAAGACCTTCACTCACTCTCACTCTCACTCTAAGATTTGTCTCAACGCTCAGCCCTTTCTCAGCCTCCTTCTGAAGGAGTCCTTCGTCTTCGTCAAAGTCTCAGCCCTCTTTGCTTCCGCTGTATGATTGTGGTTGTTTTATCTTAAACATTGAGTTCCTAATATTATGGTTTTTATATTAAAAACTTGATTGAAATTGTTGATTAGTAATTTAGATGAATATTATGTAATATATATATATCAAGTTTAGTCTAAACCGCTTAAAATAACAAATTTATTTTGGGCTCAACCCGAACTCAACTCGTAAAGTAACTCAAAATTAGTTATAAATCATTAACCCGAATTCAACTCGAACCCACCCAAATTAAATTCGAACATTGTTCGAGTTAAGTCCCTCAACCCAAAGTAAGATTAGGGTTAAAGTTAAAATTAAAATTAAAGACTATACATATAAGATTGAACTGGAGTTAACTATTCAATCCAACCCAACCCACCCGCACCCTGCGGCAAAGCGGCCTCCGCGTAATATATCCCAAAAGTATCACGGTTCTTCTAAAACCCTATTCTTAACGTTTTCTTTTTCTGTCTAAAACCCTAAAACCCCTTTTTGAATTTGTTTTGACAGCAGCTTGTTACTTCGCACTGCAACTCTCAATTTCATAAGTTATGCTTCCGCTCTTCAATCCCAACCAAAGTCAAACTAATGGAGCCATTACTTCAGCTCCCCAACGGGTGCTCTCTCTCTCTCTCTCTACACACTCACTCATGTATATATTCATAATGTTTTGGTTGTTCTCTTTGTATTAACTTCATGATTTTGATTAGTTAATTTGATGTTTTAAATCAACAGGTTATGCAATCTAGCAATTTTCATGGTAACCCAAGTAATTTATTGCCAAACTCTGCCCAAATTCAGCCTCAAATGGGCATGATCAATTCTCAAGTTGCAATTCCTTTCAATAGTTCAAATACCCATTTGAGCAATGGGAACTTAGCAATGCCCAATTGGCCAGTTCAAATACCTGCGCCTTGTTTCATGAATGCACCTAACCAGATTTTCCCCTTGCAAAATGGTATGCATCTTTTGGCTCCACAGAGTTTGAGTACGGTCGGCTTGAATTCTTCTCAATTACCTGGTCAGTTATTTGCACAGAATTCTGGGAACCCACCTCAATTCTTCAACCAGAATGTCAGTTTGCCAAATGGGCAGTTCTTTTTGCAGAGTCCCATGCAAAATATGAAGCAATTTGCTCAAATGCCAATGCCAAATCATTCTCAAGTTGTTTCTGGCACTCACCCTCTGTGCCTGAATAATCGAGGTTTTCAGGGTATTGGCCCTCAAAATTCCATCTTCGTTGCTAACCCACAATTCGGCCTGGTTCATTCTAATGGAATTGTGCAACCCAATTTTCAAGATCACCATAGTTCAATGTCACCAACAGTGAATGCGAATGCACCAAACCAGTTGCATAATAGTACTCCTCAACTGCAAGGGAGCTCACCTTCACAGCTTGCTTCTGGTTCTCTTCAAGGACAACAAGACCAGAACAACTTTCGTCCTGTTTCATCACAGTCACAGGTAGCTTTTATTTGGTTTATTCATATTATTGTCTGATCAGTGTATCCATGAAGTTTGATCAAAACTTGATGTATTTGACAAGGAATTGTTGTTTATTCTCTTGCTAAACACAGTTAAACTACTACATTCGAGACTCAACAGTACACAGTATTTGAATCACTTTTGCCCATATTAAACTACAATAATTGAAGCTAAAAATACATGATATCAAATCATTTGGGAATGCAGTACAAGTGAACTGTAGGAATTATAATTGGTAGAAGTAGTTTCCTTATGTAGTGAACGAAGCAAGGAGACAGAATGTTGGGCAATCTGTTGTCATGCTGAGACAATCTGTGATTCGAAACCAGCAGAGCTCAAATTGAGTTGCAATGCAAAATAGTGAAGAGGATGAGAAAAGAGTAAGGCAAGAAGGAAGAGAAAAGTATTGTAGAATCTTAGTATCTTACCATGGACTGTGTTAAAAGAGGGATATAATTATCAGCTGCAAAGATGAATGCTCAGGTGCAATGTGGAGAATATTTCTCTTCAGGGGGACTTCTGTTTTGCTTTTTCCTCCTTTGAAATGAAAGAGATGAAAAAATAAAATTCCTAATTTCCAACACAAGAAAACTCAAACTCATCTGGCAATAATCATGACCCATTATTTTGCTAAACCCACTCTGTGAGAGAATTGATTTTGAGAAATACTTGGGTTCCAAGTATGAGAGCATTTATTCATGTTTTTTCTGTGTGCGTATACGTATATTCTATTTGCAGTTATTGCTTATAAAGTTCATTGTCTAGCTTGCAGGAAATTCATTTCTTGTTCCTCATTGAGGAGGGCACCAGATCATTCCAGCTTTGGTAGTCTATGTGAAAAATTTCTTTTCATGTGTTTGACCTAAGGGTCTAACAGTCGATTGCTTCCATTCTCAGCAGAACCATGATTTCCAATCGAATAAAGTGCTAGAGAATCCCATTAAGTCAATTATGTGAACTTTGACACACCAATCTGTGGATTAACCAACCCAATGATGCCAAATTGTGGACTAAAAGCAAATTTGCCACCTTGGTTTGGTGGCTACCTGGCTAATCCGTATTAACTCATGATCTATATTTTAAATCTATGAGGAAATCTGTCAGTATTTTTGTCTATGTGCAAGTGTGCACGTACTGTACACATGTTTCTTTCTATGTACTTGTCGCAAACGCTTTCTTTAATATGTTTAATAATACATTGTATACTATTTAGTCGGTGAGCTATGTTGATTGTGGGTAATTGAAGTTTTGTTAACTGTTGCAGGGGAATCCCAGAAAAGATATTGGGTTGAACAAATTCAGTAGTAACTGGAAAAATTCTCAGAAGAGAAACTTTACAAGGAATCCAAAAGGCAATGCATCGCATAGTGGGTGTGTTGTTAAGCATAATTTTATTATTCCATATGCCTTGGAGAAAAGGTTGGATGGATTGACTTTTTTTTTGCACTGATTTCACTTGCTACAGATATATGAAGTCCCATTTTGGTTCTAAGCAAGACGCAAAAGGAAAGTTCAATCATAATGGACATGGGGTAAAAGGTCGGGTGTTTGGTACTTAGATACTGTTTTGAAAGTTTCTGAACTTTTCTGTTTGGGTCATTTGTAACAAGGTGTTTTTATTATTCGCCCTTATGAAAGTTCAGGTCTCATAAGGGACATGGTATTTGGTAGTTAGACACTGTTTTGAAAGTTTTCTGAACATTTCTGTGTGATTCATTTGTAAGAAGTTTTTTTATTATTTGCCCATTGCTCGTGTATTCTCTGCTTGTATATGGATGGAACTAAACATGATATTAGGGAGGTTACTGACATGCTATTTCCACTGTTGTACAGTCTATTGTTCATGCTGCTCTAACAGTGGATAATGTGGTAGCGATTAATTATTCACACTCATGTTATAATGAACAGACTTTTTCGGTCTTTCTTCTTTCTATGTAGCTTTTTATTAGAGATTGAGGCCAGTTGATCTTAAGGTTAGGATTTATTGTGCTCAAGGTGGAAGTCCATAAATGGGGTTTTAGTAATTTTTTTGGAGTAAATGACCATTTGAATATATTGATTTGTGGAATTGTGATTGCCGTCTTTCTCTTTGTCTCTCTCTCTTTTAGTTACTCTTATATCATATTAAGGGTTGCTCACATGTGGGTTTACCAGTTGACTACTGTTATATACTTGCAAATTAGGAAAATCCCAAATCTTAGAGAAAGTATCTAACGTGCTTGTTTTTTCCACTTTCCTGTTTCTTTTTCATTCATTCATAGTTTGTTACTTTTGGAACTCTTGTCTTGCAATATCTTTGACACAATTTTTATGGATGACCCACCTATATCTTGCATACTATGAAGTACGGATATAGGTACGATACGATATGAATATGACTATATGATAAAATCTAAAAAAGTAGGGTACGAATACAACCAAAATATGTCTATAATAAAATATATTTCATATTTTCACTATTATCTACCGACTTAATAATTATATGTTTTGGTGATTCTTTAACATAATAAACAAAATTATTAATTTTTATAGTTTCAAAAAAGTATAAATTGTATCATTATGGTATATTCACAAAGTAAAGTGACTAATTAAAAGAATCAAAATTAATATTTACTTAATTAGTTTGCTAAGAAGTATTTGTTACTAAGATTATAATGTACTAGATTCATTTTATGTTCTTTTGATATGTAATAATAGATAATACTTAAAAATGACTTCTGTGTTTTCAAATTCGTATGAATTTTATTTATGTATTTTATGGTATGTGAATTCGAATTGATATGTTAAAGTTTAAATAAAAAGTTATACATATTGCTCCAATACAAAAGTATCCGCAAAATTTTCAAATATTTATTATTATCCCATATGTAGGAGGGGTATCTGATATGTATCATCTAGTATCCGACGAGTATCGTATCCGATATGGATATACCAATCTCAACGAAATATCCGTATTTCATAGCTTGCATGTATAGTTAAGTTAGCCATTATTTAATTCTTGGCCCATATATTGCTCAGGGTGCTTTAATATGTCCTTATCTTTTTTCCTGCCTCTCTTTCTCCAACAATAGGTGATAGCCATGATGGAGCTAGAAATTCTGGTCTGACTAACTCTACCAACCAAACTCAAGTGGAAAAGAAAAGGTAATTCATGGCTCATTTGGTGCTGTGTTTTTTTTTTTTTCTTTCTTCACCTGAATGTATGTAGATAACTCTAGTTGAGTTTATCGTTGTATGCAACAGCAATTGTCCTGGGAAATCAAATTAACATAGCTGAGGAAGTTTTAATATTCTTCTTTGGGGTCGTTTTAGCATTTCTTTTGTTATTCTTGTTCAAATGTGGCCATTTTATAATCTTGACTTCAGTTCATATGAGGGATTTCTTCGTGCTGAAAAATCTTTTCAAAAAAGCGGGAGCTAGCAGGCCTGAGATTTTGAGAAAGGTAATATATGATATAATGCCATTGCTTGACGACCATCCTCTTCCACTTCGTATGTCCAAGTTTCCCCCTGCACTGCACGATTTGGACCACTGCCTCCAGGCAAAAGGAAAGTTAAAGATGATTCTGTTCTACATCACATGTTAAGCTGCTATTGATTGCAGTTATATGTTTGATTCCATTGTGGTTATTAGACCATTGGAAACATTGTCAAAGTCTTAATTGGCTAGGTTAAGGTATCAAATAATGGTATCCATGCCATTAGGACACTAATTTCCAGTTCATTGTAGTGATACTTTATATTCACAACCAACTTTTTTTTTGTGACAACAATTGAAGACTCACTGATACACTCAAATAAACTTGTGACTTCCAAAACTCAATGTTTCATAATTTATGGAATTATTGTCATCATGATATACTAATACGGCTCGATAGCACTCCTCAACTCCCAATCTCTTAACAAGTCCCCCTGCTGTACAACGTTGACAGTGATGGTTCATTATTAGTGACAACAACGGCCTCCAGCTGCAAACCACTAATTGGGTGCACTGTAGGTTCCATTCTTATCTTCTTTTCCTATTTCAAAATTTAAAGATTTGAAACATTCATCAGAAGTTTAGGATGTGTCATTGTGTTTCATTTTTTTAAAGGGCTTATTGAGGAGTTGAAGTCTTAAGTTGGTGTTGCTATCATTGAAGAATCTAGATGGGGGCATAGGGGTCATGGGTTTCCAAAGTTTTAGGAAGCCTCTCTTAGTTAAAACCTTAAAATTACAATAATATTGTTCTAGAATTCCTGATACCGCCCTCCCTCTCAAAAAAAAAAAAAGAAAGAGAATTTAGAAAAGAAAAAAGAAGTAATCCAATATTTTAAGATGTGCACAAAAAATGCTTACTTTGAAACCTCCCCCAATCCCCCCCCCCCTCTCTCTTCAATGAATATTTTGGCTTTGCACCTGCTCCCTGTTACACCCTTTTCTTGATACTTTAAACCTATAAATAATTAAATAGTTGATTTGGGTTGTTTTAGCCCAGGATGTTGAACCTCATATAAATGACTACCTTTCTGGCATTCATGAATGGAAATTTCATTGGGAAATAATTCAGATCTCCTGATGGTGACTTATTTTTCCCTAGATTCTATTGCTAACATGATTTGTAGTTGACAACTACAAAAGGATTGCAAGAACCTAACATTAGGATTGAATGCCAACATCATGTTCAGCATTGGCCACCACCTTGTTTTCCTTCTTATCCTTTTCTATGGGTGTATATCAAATCAGAGCCCCTTTATTGTGTGGTACTTCCTTTATTTGTTTCTCCTAATATTTCCCTTTTTTCCAATACTATATTCTTTCTATTGTGTCTCCATGTCATTTTTAAATTTTGTTTACTTCTCCTTCAAATAAAGATCTCTATCTTTGAACTACACGGAACAAGAAATCCAACAGTGGCGCAAAGAACGCAGGAAGAATTATCCATCAAAAGCCAACATGGAGAAGGTTTGTTATCGGCAACTTACGTATCATTAATTTTTACCTGAACTTGCATCCATGTAACCTAAAATTTCCCTCCCTGCAGAAGCTGACAAAG